ACAGAATGAATAAATACATGAAGAAACATATAAAGCCATGTGTGGGTCAGTTGTGTAGTCCGTTGTGTAGTCAGTTGTGTGGGTCAGTTGTGTAGTCAGTTGCGTAGTCAGTTGTGTAGTCAGTTGTGTGGGTCAGTTGTGTAGTCAGTTGTGTGGGTCAGTTGTGTGGGTCAGTTGTGCAGTCAGTTGTGTGGGTCAGTTGTGTAGCTCAGTTGTGTAGTCAGTTGTGTAGTCAGTTGTGTATTCAGTTGTGTGGGTCAGTTGTGTAGTCAGTTGTGTGGGTCAGTTGTGTAGCTCAGTTATGTAGTCAGTTGTGTAGTCAGTTGTGTAGCTCAGTTGTGTAGTCAGTTGTGTAGTCAGTTGTGTAGTCAGACCTGGTAAACACAGGGGAACGTGTACCACTGTCCTCCGCACATGTCTCTGTTGGGAATGACCGCTCCGTCCACAAGGACTTTGACGTAGTAGTCTCCGTACGGCATCTCTCTGCACAGTGATCACACACATACACACAGTGATCACACACACTTACACACACAGTGATCACACACACTTACACACACAGTGATCACACACACTTACACACACAGTGATCACACACACTTACACACAGTGATCACACACACTTACACACAGTGATCACACACACTTACACACACAGTGATCACACACACATACACACAGTGATCACACACACTTACACACACAGTGATCACACACACTTACACACCCAGTGATCACACACACTTACACACAGTGATCACACACATTTACACACACAGTGATCACACACACTTACACACACAGTGATCACACACAGTTACACACACACTTATCACACACACTTACACACACAGTGATCACACACACTTACACACACAGTGATCACACACACTTACACACACAGTGATCACACACACTTACACACACAGTGATCACACACATACACACAGTGATCACACACATACACACAGTGATCACACACACTTACACACACAGTGATCACACACACTTACACACAGTGATCACACACACTTACACACAGTGATCACACACACTTACACACAGTGATCACACACACTTACACACACAGTGATCACACACACATACACACAGTGATCACACACACTTACACACACAGTGATCACACACACTTACACACCCAGTGATCACACACACTTACACACAGTGATCACACACACTTACACACACAGTGATCACACACACTTACACACACAGTTAACACACACACTTATCACACAGTGATCACACACAGTTACACACACAGTGATCACACACACTTACACACACAGTGATCACACACACTTACACACACAGTTAACACACACACTTATCACACAGTGATCACACACAGTTACACACACACTTACACACACAGTGATCACACACAGTTACACACACACTTACACACACAGTGATCACACACAGTTACACACACACTTATCACACACACTTACACACACAGTGATCACACACAGTTACACACACACTTATCACACACAGTTACACACACACTTATCACACACAGTTACACACACACTTATCACACAGTTACACACACAGTGATCACACACAGTTACACACACAGTGATCACACACAACTCTTCTCACCATAGGATCTGAAATGTCTCTTTGCTAAAGCTTGTAAAATAAAAAGTTATTTTGTGTTTAAAGGAGACGTATCGTGTGTGTTTGTCTGAGAACTAAATAAATAAGTTTTATTCGGTTACAAACAAATCAATATATATATATATATATATATATATATATATATATATATATATATATATATATATGCACATACAGGCATACACATATATTAGTCTTTAAATGATAAATGTAAAGCAGAATGAGAGTTATTCCTGGCCATTAGATAATAGATCCTGTATCTGTCCCACAGTGGTAAATGCCAGTGTTGCCTCGCCCTAACAGTGTGTGAGTAGGACCTGGTGTAACACTGGATCTGGTCTCCGTGAGTGGAGTCTCTCTCCACGTCGCAGGTGTACTCTCTCGTGTTCGACACCAGTTTTACGGTGTTCCCAAAGTCACTGTTGGCTGGATTCAGCTGAAACTGGGATTCCTGAGCAAATCCTACAAAGAAAAGAACTTCTATATTATTTCATATTTAATACAAAGTGAAGGTTGTTAAAGGTGTGTGTAGTGGACCTTCTCCATGGATGGTGACCCTCGTGGCCCCCCCTCGGCTCCCGTACGACGGAGTGACTTCAAACACTTTCTGAGCCACTGAGAAAACAGGACCACGTTAAAGAAGCTCCTCCACTAACTTTACATTTATATTTGTACTTACCACAGGCTGCGACAAGTGCAGAGATAGTCACCAAGAAAAGTGGACTTTTGGACACGGCCGGCATCCTGTGTCCGGACTGTACCAGACTGTACCAGACTGCACCAGACTGTACCAGACTGTACCAGACTGCACCAGACTGTACCAAACTGATCTTTATCTGTGAATGAATCATATGAAAGTCAGGCGCTGACTCTTGGGAGGAAATGGGTCAGAACTATAGATAGAAAGATGTGATGCATATGGTTTAAATAAAGATCCAAAACAAGCTGATTTCACTGTTTCAGACATATATATCCATCCATCCATTTTCTTCCCTTTAATCCATTTCTGGGTCAGGGGGGTGGCAGTCAGAGATGCCACCCAAGTCTCATAGCACCAGCCCCTCACTGACCCTCTGCAGGTGGTGAGTCCACAGGAGGACGGCTGCTCTCTGAGTGTGAGCATAGCCTTGATCTTTCAGTGGGGGCTTTGGGCAAAGTGGGGTTAAGTGTCTTGCCCAAGGACACAACGACAGCAGTCATCAGTGGGAGTCGGTGGAGAAGGTGCAGAGGTGGGAATTGAACCCACGACCTTCTGGCCTTAAGGCCAATGCTCTACCAACTGAGCTACTGTCGCCTCGGTTTCACATATATATAGTAATATATATATATATATATATATATATATATAGTATATATATATATATATAGATATATAGTAATTATATATATATATATATATATATATATATATATATATATATATAGTATATATATAGATATATAGTAATTATATATATATATATATATTATAAATATAGTATATATATATACATATATATATATATGTATATATATATATATATATATACTATAAACTATAAAAGTAAAATAAACCTGGGACAGAAACATGTTTGTTGTGGATCTAGAATTAGCCGTATTTGTAGATAATACTTTGTATTTATTCATCAAAGAATAAGTAGAGTTATTATTATATTAAATAATTATTATATTATTAAAACATTTCACATCATGGCTAAAAAAGTTATAAAATCAGACTATCAGAAATAAGCAGTTTTACCTGTTGAAGGGAGTCGAGCTCAGTCTCTTCTGTCTCAAAGGTGCTTCTGCACCTGTATATGGACCGGAGCTGAGAGGAGGAGACTGAGGCACCACCCACCCAGAGACACCACCCACCCAGAGACACCACCCACCCAGAGACACCACCCACCCAGAGGCACCACCCACCCAGAGGCACCACCCACCCAGAGACACCACCCACCCAGAGGCCCCACCCACCCAGAGACACCACCCACCCAGAGGCACCACCCACCCAGAGACACCACCCACCCAGAGACACCACCCACCCAGAGACACCACCCACCCAGAGACACCACCCACCCAGAGGCCCCACCCTTAATCTTTCAAAGGTGAAGTGGATTAAGTGTCTTGCCCAAGGACACAACGGCAGCAGACATCAGTGGAAGTCGTGAAGGTCTTGTGGTGGACTCGAACCCACAACCTTCAGGCCTAAAAGCCAATGCTCTACAGCTGAGCTCTCTCTTCACAGCGTAGACTAAAAGGTTCAGGTTATTCTGAAGTTCCAACTTCCAGTTTTTAAGATGTCTCTACAACATGAAGTCATATAAATATAATAACTATGTCTTTGTTATAAAGTGTCTTTGGTGAACGCTCTGAGCCAACACTTTCTCACAGCTGAAAACACTACAGGCCGTGGGTAAAACAAGTGCAGACGGCTTTAAACCCTGGTCTGGGCTCGGACGATCGAGGGGTGTCCAAACTATTCATCTTGATTATAAAGAACCACATTTCTATATTTGTGCTGTTTAGTTTAAGGGGAAAGAAAGGGACGATTATTGCATTAAAGCAATTGAATCTAAAAATAGACTTAAAATAAGCCCTCAGCATCAGAGGAAGAGACACAGGTGAAAACACTCTTTCTGAATCTACGGTTCTGAAAAGCACCATGAAACTACTGAAATGTGACTTTGGGAATCATCAAAACAACAATACATTGTCCTTAATGAATTAAACTTTATGGACTTTTATATAATGATAATTAAAATAAACAGTGGTTTAAAGCTTGTAGTCCATAAAACCTGTGTTTTTCTTTTATCCCCATAAAAAGTATTTTTAAACTCAGCCTAATGATAACGAACTATAAAAGATGGATCAAGTCCAGTGTTGGGACAATCCCTGAAGTATTGTCTAAATGTTAGTCTGAAGAGAATCAGAACAATGTTCTTTATTTCAGATATAAATGAAACAAAGTGAACGTGTTAGATCTGGGTCGTTGCTTGGATCGGCTGATTCACGTTTATTTTCTCTCAGAGTATTTTTAGGCCGTCTTTACCGCATGTTACTAAAGCATTCTACATGAGAAAATGTTGCAATAGACATTTCCCAATTTTGACACTTCCTACGTAAGTGGTATTTAGCGAGTAACAAACTGTTGGAGACAATAATCACAGCGTAAAAATAGATTCAAAGATTAAAGACCTTTGTCCAAGAGTCACTAAAGAATGCACTTTCTATTATCAACACTTGACAGGTGAAGATAATAATCATCCAAACAGACTCGTGAGGTCTTGCGTGAAAAACTGACGTGACTGATTCAGACGCAAGACAAAGAAACCGTCTGAGGATCTGGATCATTTAACTCTGACTGGAAATGC